CTGCTACATAATTACTCAAACTGGGTAGGATTTTAAATCACATGAAACCTCAAAAAGGAATAATTTTTTTAAACTTCATATCGGGAGCTGTCCCTAACTTACCCCAAGGTTTGACTCTCAAAGACGCGGCACAGTTAGGAATGGGGCGACAAAAAGGTCGAGGATTTGTCAAAGATGTACTCAAGCATGGGAAAAAACAAGTCATAATGGCCGGAGTGAAGATAGGCAGGGATGTGGTGAGAAAAAGAAAAAAGCCCATCAGAAATGCTGTTTTAACCCACGGACTAAATGCTGCCAAAAATACAGTCCTATTTGCTGTCAATCGAGGAGTATCTTTACCCTTTAGAAAGAAGAAAGGGCAAAAAGGTAAAGGCAGAAGAAGACGAAGAAAAAGAAGAAAGCAGACAGGGAGAGGAATAGGGAGAGTACTGCTAGCCCGAGGGGGTCCTAAGAGAAAAAGAAAAAAAACAAGGAGGAGGAGGAGGAATGGCCAAGAAAAAAAGGGCGTTAGATGTGTTTGACTGAGCAGAGAGAGAGAGAGAGAGTATAAATAGGACCGTCGAATCCTAAAGACCTTCATTTTGTGAAAACTCCGTCTTGAGTCAACACATCATGTTACAGGCCGATTCCTGTGCCTGTGGGATGAACAATTTACAATAGTTCCAAGTCCCTCCCACCAATATTGCTTTAGAAGAGTCGAAATGGGAAGAATATTACCCTATTTCCAGTACTTAGACTCCAAAACCGCTCCCATCGAATTTGAAATTAAAGGACAAGGAGACCAATATCTGGATTTATCTCAAACTTATCTTCAAATGGTCTGTCAATTTACTCAAAATGATGGAAGTGCTCTTGCTGGAGATCCGGCTAAAACAGCTCCGGTGAATAATATCTTACATTCCTTGTTTACGGAAATCGATCTCAGTCTGAATGGAAAAATTGTCACTCCGGGGACCGATACTTATCCTTACAAAGCTTATCTGGAGAAATTACTCTCTTACAAACCCCGAACATTAATGACACAGATGAGAGCGTGTAGTCTATGGGAAAAAGATACGGTAGGACATATGGACGAAGTGGGTTAGACCCTCTGGGGGTCTCCGGCGCGGTTGGTAGCAGGACCTTTGCTAAAAACCAAGATGATAGTGTGACCATTACCAAACCCATCCTCATAGAGTACCCGGACGATTCTAAAAACGAAGGATTCAGAAAACGCCAGCAAGCCATCGATGGGAGTAAGAAAATCACCTTGTTGGATCGTTTCAATCTGGATTTGTTTCAACAAGATCGATTTTACCCAATGGAGTGGACGTCCGTTTGAGATTTAATCGAGCTAGACCTGCTTTCTACATGATGACAAAACAAGCCAAAACGGGAAAAGTCAAGATATTGAGTATGGTCTTGTTTGTGAGAAAAGTGAAACCTTCCCCTACTTTGATGAATCAGATCAATCAAAGTTTGAATACTCACAAAACCAAATATCCATTGAGAAGTGTGGAAGTGAAAACCTTTACCATCCCAACAGGAACTCAGTCTAATATTACGGATCATCTGTTTCAAGGCCAGATGCCTAAACGTCTCATCTTAGGGTTTGTGGAGAATGCTAAAAATCCATTTCATTTTCAAAACTTTGGGATTAAGAAATTAGATGTCAGTATCAACGGAGAGACCATGACGACTTCTTGTTTTGAACCTAATTTCAACGAAGATTTATTTATGAGATCTTATCTCAGTCTGTATCAAGCCCTGGGAAAATTAGGAGAAAATTGGGCTCCACACATCACCTATGCTTTTCCTTATAAAATAGGGTGTGGGCTAGCCGGAGGAAACTAGACTCATTATAGACATTATATTGAACAATTTGTACACACTATGACAAACAGGTGTACATTCTTCATAAACATCAAGTGTGTGTGTGTGTGTGTGTGTGTGTGTGTGTGTGTGTGTGTGTGTGTGTGTGTATGTTTTATGTGATATAAAATGAATAAATAAAAAAAAAATAATTAAATTTTAAAAAATGTTTTTGTCTGTTATATCAATTAATTGAATAAACAAAACTGTGTTTTTTCTTTTCTTTGTATTCTTTCAATGTTTAATATTATTATTTAAAAAAAAAATTCTAAGATTAAAAAAAAGATTTCAAAGAAAAATTCAGTGAACTGGTGTTTTGACTTGACACACAAACGTTTCTCTTTACCACTGTATTAAAAGATAATCTTTTCTTGACACACAAACGTTTCTTTTTTTTTTTTTGACTGTATAAAAAGCATCTTTTCTAAACATTTGGGTGGCTCTTAAAAGAGCCGTTTGTTTGATTTTTTTATCTCAAGGGTTTACTCCCTAATGGTCCGCCTCTGCCTCTACCCTCGGAGAGGGGTGGCAACTGGTGCCGAGCTAAGGGGCTCCATGAAATCTGGTCTTACGGGGGATGGTGGAGGCGGTGGTCTGGTCGGGGGTGGCGGTCTTCTGGGGCGAGGTTGCCGTAATCCTCGCACGCCGCAGGGTGCCAAATTACTGGGACGCCAGCGTCAACACAGAGGGCGGCAGCAGGGGGAGAAGTCTGGCCCACCAGCACACGGGAACAGGCTGGCCTGTCTCTGCAGTCTGCGCAGATGTAATAGGAGGGCTGGTCTCTCTTCCAAGCACACCGCGCATCTATCGATCCGGGCCTCGGCAACCTGGATCCCCCATGCTGGTACGGGTCCAGACCTCGGACCTGGCTGGGGATGCTCGCTCTTCCTCCACACATTCACTCGAAGACCAGTCCGAGTTAACGGGTGTGCCCAGTCTGACTTTGATCCTCCAGCAGCTCCCTGTACTTTATTCGGTGACCACGTCGGGGTAGGCGGTCGTGGAGGGGGATGGGCTCCTAGGACTAACCTCTTGTGGGGGAGACGGGTTCCTGTAGGCATCAGGACTATTCAGTGGGGCAGAATATCCAGTGGACATCTCTTCTTCTTCTTCATCGTCTTTTGGTCCTGTCTGTATGGTGTGGGCCGCCTCTGCCTTCGTCTCCTTCTTCCCTCTGCCTTCTTCTCCCCGGTATATCCCTGGCCAGGCCAGTGTGTAGCTAAAGGCCATTTGGCCAGCTCCCGTCCGGTGGCCACGTCCCTCACTATCCACACATTGAACCTCTACGCCGTTGATCAAATGATAATTAGGAATATCTTCCTCAGCCATTGTGATACGTCGTCGGATAATCCGATACTAACAGAATGACGCCGAGTGCTGGAGAGCGTCTGTATTTACGTACAAATTACGGACGTTGCAAAAAGCACCTGGATGGCGAGAGCCAAAATATCATGGCAAACCTAAATTGTGTGTGATTTGTACTTTAGGACTTATACCTTTTCATGGATTAATTATTGTGTATTCATAGTTGGATTCAATCATGATACATGTCTAAAGAAGGTAAGTTTCCTGCCTCCTTTCATACTGGAATTGATACATGACATTCATCGTCGTGGAGAAAAGAGTTAAAAATGTCGAAGCGACGAGGCGAAATCCAGTGACCCGGATGTATAAAATAAGCATTTTAAGTCTTTTTAGAGTGTGAGATCAAGAAAACTCATGAGGGCTCGGGAGAAGGGACTTAGGGAAGAGTGCCGATATAGTTTTTATTTCAAAAGAATCATGATAAGGGTAAAAATCAAGCTAAATGTGTTTAGGTATAGACACTTTGGGGGGGTCAGAGGTCACGGATTTTCAGAAAATCATCCTATGAGATCAGGTTTCTTGGAATCTAGCCTTTTTCTGAGTAAATTGAAATAAAAATAGAATGTCATGAGGTTAAAAACAATTCGTATCTACTTTATAGATCATGTACAAGTATCTTGATATTTTGTTTTTTACAGAAATCAAAAATTGAAGTGACATCGGGTGTCAACAGGGCATTGAATACACATCCCCTGATTTTTTAAGTAACCAGATCTTTTATGAAAGAAAATTTTACATGAAAAGAATCGTATTGGTTTGAAAATCATTCGTATTTACTTATTAATCATTATCAACTCTAATTTTTTTTTTGTTTAATCAAAAAACTATACACAGACTCCGCGTCTAAAAAAAATTCAAGATGGCGTCATAAATAACAAACACTGACGTATAGATTATTTTTACATGATTTATTTCTTAAAGACTAACAAAGCTTCTAACTGTCGAATTCTCTTCCGGAATCGTACATTCGATCGGCTACTAGACTCATCCAGGCACTTCTCCGGTCTTCGGGGGGTAAATCATAGATTTGATTAAGGCTGGTATTAAAAGTCACCGATTTCCTAGCCTGTGTGAAATTTTCACCCATTTTATTCCGTATTGAATACATACTTTCTCCATCGCATCTATTTCCTGCCACAGTAAAATCACTTTTGCCGCTTGAGGATTGGTCAGGAAACTGTACGGCTTTCCGAAATAATGGGTCAGGCTCAGTCCGTACCATTTCTGGGGCAGAGTTGTTTTCATCCGTTGACATAAGAAATGTAGTATAGCTAGTCTCCCCATGGTCGCATGATGTGATAATGCCAGGCATTGTAACCACAAATCCTGAGTGGTTTCCACGATAGTGGTCGCTTTCTGAAATGATTGTTCTGCCTCCGGGGGAAGAGCTTCTTGATTGTTCATTATCTATCGCACTAAACAATCATACCCATCTAAAATCAGAGAGTGAGTGTGTGTAAGGGTTGACATGATAGTCGATTGTTAAAGGACCAGACTTTTTTTCTCATTTATACCCCCATAGAGACGTATACAGGACGCATAGTTCAGTGACTAAGGGAAAAAAACGAGCGAGGGTGATGCGCGCGAGGGGGGACAAAACTTAAGTCAAACTTATTGATGCACACGGCCTTCCAGATCCAAAAGGTATATAAATCAAAGCTGGGAATTTACGATCAGTCTTCGTTGGCACTTCGAACTTGACAGACGTGAAAATATGGCACAGGCAATGATGAATTCGCACACCTAGAAATGAAGAAGTCAATTATGCTTTACCAACTGCAACCATGCCAGAGTCACAGGACCCCGTCGGATTTGATTTGGGATTATATAATCTTCCAGGATACATGAATAAAGAAGATATGGGCATCTTGACTACAACTCTGGATGGGATTGTCAACATGCTGACTGGTATTGATAACAAGCTGACTGATCTGAAAAACTACAACACCAGTGAATTTTGTTTGATCCGTGATAGATTGTCCAGATTAGAAGTTAAAGTCGCCAACATGCAAGAGAAAATGAGAGGAGGAGGCTCTTACCAGAAAAAAGAAGACAAGGGATCCGGAGATACTAAGAAAACAAGACAGACGGACCCGTGCTTCATCTGTAAAGAGTTATGGCATTGGGTCCCAGACTGCCCCAGAAAAAAACAGGATTTGTGCTACAAGTGCGGTAAATTTGGACATTGGGCTAATAAGTGCCCAGAGGATGATGAGGATCAACAATTCTTGAAAGAAGTAGAAAAATTGGAGAAAAAGCCTCAGGAACCCAAGACCTCAGGGACACACCAGACCAAACCATTAGTGAAAGAAGGAGAAAAAAAAGGGGGAAAAGTCTCAGGAACACAGCAGAGAGATTCCAGCCACTCACAAGAGGAAACTACCCCCGACCGAAAAGGCACAGAAGAAGAAAAAGTAAAAAAAAACTCTGTATGTATGTATTGATTCTGAATAAAATGTGTTTTACCTTGTGTGTTATTGTTTTTTCCGTTTTCAGAAAATGCAGCTCTGCTGGCTAGCTGTAAATGAAAACGTGACGTCATAATCACATACTTGAATCGCTGCCAAAAATCGTAGTAGCAGCGTATTTACCTAGTGTCAAAGGCTAAGGATTTGAGTCTATGAGTCTAAAGGAGGAGTTCCCCCACACTTAGTTGAACTCCCTATCCCCACCCAGGGGCTGTACTGAGTTGACCTCCCTATCCCCACCCAGGGGGCTGTACTTAATTGACCTCCCTATCGTCACCCAGGGGCTGTACTGAGTTGACCTCCCTAGCCAATCAGAATCCAGCATTTTTGACCTCATTTGCATAAAAAGTGCACTCAGTTGACCTCGCCGGCTAGACCCCTAGTACTACTTATAGAGATGAACAGTTTGTCAGCGCAACTCCTCATAAACCACTGCACACAATTTTGTCAAACTTTGCACGTTTTTAGGACACAATGTGAAGATGTGCATATAACCAGGAAATTCCTACTCCTTTCTTTTTCCGGGAATTTCCGCATTTTTCAACTAAGTGTCTTGGCCATATCTTGAATATAGAGATGAATAGTTTTTCAGCACAACTCCTCATTAACCGCTGATCACAATTTCGTCAAATTTTGCAGATATTTAGGACACATTGTTTAGATGTGCATGTTACCAGGAAATTTTGATTCCTTCATATTTCCGTTAATTTCTTTTACACTTAAATGTTTGGCTATATCTTGGATATAGAGATGAACAGTTTGGCAGCACAACTCCACATAAACCGCTGCACACGATTTTGTCCAACTTCGCAGATATTAACTTAAGGACACAATATGTAGATGTACATATTGCCAGGAAATTCCGATTCCTTTATTTTTTCCGGGAATTTTTGCACTTTTCAACTTAGATTTTTGGCTATATGTTAAATTTAGAGATGAAAAGATTGTCAGCGGAACTCCTCATAAACCACTACACACATTTTCGTCAAACTTTGCAGATACTTTGGACACAATGATTAGATGTGCATATTACCAAGAAATTCCGATTCCTTCATATTTCCGCGAATTTCCGCACTTTTACACTTAGATTTTTGGCCATATTTTGAATATAGAGATGAAGTTTGTAAGCGCAACTCCTCATGAACCACTGCACACAATTTTGTCAAACTTTGCACGTTTTTAGGACACAATGTGAAGATGTGCATATAACCAGGAAATTCCTACTCCTTTCTTTTTCCGGGAATTTCCGCATTTTTCAACTTAGTTTTTTGGCCATATCTTGAATATAAAGATGAACAGTTTGTCAGCGCAACTCCTCATAAACCACTGCACACAATTTCGTCAAACTTTGCAGATATTTAGTACACATTGTGTAAATGTGCATATTACCAGGAAATTTTGATTCCTTAATATTTCCGGGAATTTCCGCACTTTTACACTTAGATTTTTGGCTATATCTTGGATATAGAGATGAACAGTTTGGCAGCACAACTCCACATAAACCGCTGCACACGATTTTGTCCAACTTGACAGATATTCAGGACACAATGTGTAGATGTGCATATTGCCAGGAAATTCCGATTCCTTTATTCTTTCCGGGAATTTCCGCACTTTTTAACTTAGATTTTTGGCTATATGTTGAATTTAGAGATGAAAAGTTTGTCAGCGCAACTCCTCATAAACCACTGCACACATTTTCGTCAAACTTTGCAGATACTTAGGATATAATGTGTAGTGCATATTACCAAGAAATTCCGATTCCTTTATTCCGGGATTTTCAGCACTTCGACTTTTGGGGGAGCGTTGGTTATGTGAGCTTGCTCCACTGTTTCTTTCATTGATTCTGTAACCTGCCAGCTACATGTACAATAAACGCCATACGCCTGTTCAAAAGAGTGAGCGCTCGCGAACATTTCTATTGGAAATGTAAGGAATTTTGGTGAGCGCTCGCGAACGTGCTCTGTTGAACAGACCTCCAGGTGAAGCTGGGATGACACCATCACAATAAACAACACTATATATGTACTTACATTCAACACATGCGTCTAATTAAGTTAAATAAAAATGGAATAAATTTATACAAGAACTAATGCCACAAATTACCAGAATATTAGTCTTGTCACCGAAAAATTGAATAAAAAATTCATACTGTGAAGGTTTCCAATTTTTGAAAACCGGATCATGATGCATTTATGAATGATCTAGCTGCTTCTCTAAAAAATAACGATTACAGATTAAGTCCAGTAAAAAAAAATTAATAAAAATGGAGAAACCTTGCTTTACACTCGCACAGGGGAACATAAAATTTTACAAATATTGACATCTACATCATGTACATCACATGAATGTTTTCAAACATGTGGAGCGGACTTTCCTCATCTGGCATTACACTCTTACATGGAAACATGACATATAGAAATATTACAGTTAACATATATTACAACACGAAATTTCAAAAGGTAGATAGTCTACAAGTGGAGCGGCCCAATTTCCACCCCCGATACAACACTCGCACAAGAGAACATGAAATTCTAGAATCATTATAGCCAACATGTAACATTATTTATTATATATAGATATAATAGTCTAGATGTGGAGCGGTCCAATTTCCGCCCCCGATATACCGTATATCCGGGTTTTTTTTGCGTGTTGCAAATTTTGCGAAAAAATTCAGATTTGTACATTTTTTATTTTGCGTTACTTATTTTTTATCGATTTCAAACAAAAAAGTGAATTTTTTTTAGAATGGGGAATTACGTCTGTATAACAACACAGTCTTGATTGGAGAGTTATCTCTCTTTTTATGCCTATGACAGATTTAATGTCAAATCTTAAGTAAGCAAAACGTTTTGATAAGTTTATTAATAAATGACAAAACACGCATGCAAGTATATTAACATATTACACATCAATATACATGTACATTGTAATTTTAAATTATTGTAGAAAGCGTCTGTGTTTTCGTCTCGTGAGTTCGTCACGCGAGCAAGTCAGGATTAGTCGTCAAGAATACCACTCTCGATAAAGCCGTTTTTTATTACGTCTGGTTTTGATTTCATGTGATCATAAAGTTTCACAAGCCATTTTGCACCTAGTTCCTTCATTCTAGTGAGAGATAGATCAACGTGCACACAACTTTCTTTTTCGTTTTTCGATAGTTTCACAACTTCATCCGCGTAGAAGTGCTGGAACTCTAGAAGTGCTGGAACTCCGATTTCAAGAAATCCTTGGCGCACTTATTTACCGACAAATCCATAGGCTGCAGTTTGTCTGTACAGTTTGGGGGAATTGTGGCATACAAAAGCCTTTTTGACTTTAAAAGACTGCGAAATTCTTCCGTAATTTGTCCTCTAAAGCAATCAAAAATTAACAGGCTTTTCTGGCCAAGCGGCAGATCGTATTCTTCCCTGATATTGGCTATATAAGAACAGATGATTTTATTCACGTATTCGATCATAGTGCTTTCGTTGGCCCAATGATTTTCAGAGTGTGTTATATGAAACGTGTCCGGGAATTTTGTTCGGGGGTGGCACTTGTCAGTTTTCCCTCCGTATATTAATTGCATGGGAAGGAAATCTCCCGCCATTGATCCAGCAAATGTCCCTGTAAAGAAAAACCAGGTATTAACAAGCGATCTAGTACACAGTGTGTATACCGTTATCAAAGAACGAAACATAATTACAGTGGTAGAGTTAAGATACCAATTAATTGATTGACTCATTTAATGATAGACTGCTAATTTACGCATTCTAAGTATAATTGGTAGAGTACCTGTAATTTGCCTCTTGTCGTCGATGCCACAAATTTCAACTCGTTTAGAGCCCTCTGGCGCCATGGTCCACTGCGAGACGGGAACAATGTGTAACCCAGTTTGGTCCCAATTAATAACTAACAGGTCCAGCACAATATCTTTAACAAGCTATATTGCTTTATGTAGCTATATAGCTTTATCAAGCTATTGGCAATAGCTTTATCAAGCTATTTTTCGTATTGAAAATACAAAAAAAATTATGAAAAATAAAATTTTTAAAGTCGAATTCTGAGTTGTTGTCAGTATAATCACCCATGCGTAAATATTCTTACAAACAACAAGAGACAGTATAAAAGAGCGCCTAATCGCGAGCTGAACGGATACAAATCTGTGATTTATTTAAAAGCGGTTAAGAAATTTTAGAAAGCAGAAGAAGAAAAAATTCTCATTATGGTAGGTGCAAAAATATTTTGTATACGCCTTACCTAATAATTTCCCACAAACTATTTCAGGCTATAACACAGCAATCCTTAGAAATTAAATTTAAAATTTTGTGCATCTTCCATCAGAAATGACAAATGAGTACTAAAATTAGGAAGAATATTAAATAAAAAGTCTTGACAACACTTACAATTCGGTGCATGTGTTCCCGTATCTAATCCTTCCTCCATTACACCGGAAACAGAATTATAAATCTAAAGGCAAGATGCGGAATCAGGGACTTCGTCATCTTGTAGGTCAAAATCTACGGAGACGCAATGGTGTTAAAATTATAATGTTTTTGTTCTTCGCAAATATGATGTAACAATTTACTTATGTTTTATTTGTCAGATTGAAAAATTAAAATAAATAAAATTTCTCAAATAAAATATATTTATTAGAAATTGATAAATCATATATACAGGAGAAAATCAACCCTGGAAAAAAATAAAAAAGGACAGAGAAAGAGGGGAAAACCGAGAAGTGGGCCAGTATTAGCATCATTTATTGAGGAGGACCAAAGAAGACATGATGCAGTGTTTAAAAGAAAGAAAACTATATTAAAAAAGGTAATAAGGCATATTTTTACCTTGAACATCTCTCACGTCCTGCAAACTGTCCACAAGCTCCAAAAGTTCCTTGTAGAATTGGACATATAATTTTTTGGTTCCAGTCTTTATTTCTTTTATCCATTTAAGTCTATTTTGCTCTCCTTCAAGAAATAAATAAGAAATATGTTATGGAAAAATATTAATGAAGATGAATAATGCCAGTGTACTTTCTTGGCAGAAAGGGGGAGGTTGGGGGGGGGGGGGGTAACACATACCAGCATCATAATCCAAGTCCAGTAGATCCTCCAGCTGCTCCTCTATCTTTGCAGAAATTTCTGTTTTCGTCTTATTTTCGATAGAATTAAAATTGGTACGATCAATAGATGTAAAAAATATAGGTTGTAATGAAATGGAGGGTTTAAATGAATTTTGGTTTGATGTTTCCTGGAAATAAAATAGACGATTATTCTTGCATTTTTGAGAAAAATGTACGAGTTCATGATCTAAAGGTTTGTTTGACAGAGAAGTGTGGTCTTTTGCTTCATGGGGAGATATCAGATATTCGGATTCTCTAAGTTCTGCTCTCCATTGAAAGATTTCATTCTTAAGATCCGTATGATAGATGGAGTCTTCTGTAGCATCCTTCACCCCGAGCTGTTGTTTAATGTTGCTGTTAATCTGCAATGCAGTTAAACATTGCCATTTTCAAAGTTATGTTTCAAATAACCTACAGTGTTTGCCCATGGGCATCAACTTTCACCTTAATGAAAAATAAATTATAGACTCACCCATATCTGTAATTATTGAGTGATTGCATAGCATCATTTATTACCGATAATCTTGTGAAAATTTTCTTTAAGGCAAAAGAGTTATACAACTTAACAAAATGTGAAGTGTTGTTGGTTATAAAATCACCCTCAGGCAAGGTTGCAACGTTTGCAACACCTTTTTTTGATGAGGTACGATGCCATTTACTATCATAAATTAAACGACTTCGCGTTTTCATTGTTAATTTCTGTCAAATATATTTCTCTTTTATAAATGTTCGTTTTTCTTTTAGATCAATCAACGTTCGTTATGTTCGGGTATTTAATTTTATCTTTATAAGACATGTTTAAATTTTTATTCAGGAACTGCAAACAATCCTGAACCCCTCGAACGGAAATTCTAAACTTCCCTCTTCTTCTTCCAACCCACCTCAGTCTAATTTAACACATGTATCCCACTCTCCTCCTTCACCTATCATTCAAACTTCTGCTATATCTTCCCCCCAACACTCCTCTCTTTCGTCACCACCTCCTTCATTTCCCTCTCCTCAACCCACTATTACTACTAAAGTCACCGTTCGGGCTGAGGTTCATCCTGCTCCACGTCAGCAACAGACAACTCCCAACTCCACAACTGACGCCGTGCCTATACCCACGAAGAGGAGGAGGACGGATTTATTTAAAAATAAATATACACAAACTGAAGGAATAAAGTCCAAAATTCCAGACACTTGTAACATATGTTTTAGCAGTAAAGAGTATGGGCATTGGGTGGGGTGTGACAAACCACGTTGCGGGTACTGGCTACACGACCAGTGTGTTGGATTTTTTTTCCCTTCCTCGGCAAGTATAAAGAAAATCAAATTTAAATGTCCAGCACACAGATAAATTGATAACCTATGGATGCTGTACATATTTACGTGGATGTGTGTATGTACATTTCTTATGTTTTGAGTTCTTTATTGTTTATGTATGCATACGTTTTTATGTTTTGCTGTTTTTGTCTTCTTCTTATTTCTTCGTAAGGAATTACAATGTATTATTTAAATGACTACTTATTCAAATATTCTAGTAAACTAACTTTTTCCAAGTTGTCCAAATTTCTACATGTCTGCTGCCAATGTTTTTCTTTTGGAGCACCACTTGGTAACCAACTTTTTGCTTGGCGATTTTTGGCCTCGAGGATGAAGTCACATCCCTCCCCTTTGCTTGGATGTCCAGATTCTAAGATTTTTATTAATATTCAAATCATATTTATTATTCATATATTATCATTATGAAGTACACCATTTATAAAATGTATTTAAATTATGTGCAGTGCTGTACTTTTTGTCATTTATGTGCCAGATATATTGCAACTCTTACGAGTGAAAGTTTCGTGATCCTGCAGGAATTGTCGTACTTCAGCAGGTGCACAGACTCTCATGACTAGGTCTGTCATTTCTATCTGCTGATAGTTAGTTTTCCCCATTCCAAAATACAATGGGGAAAACTTCACTCTGGCTGCAAGAATAACGCTGCTGTTGTTGCGCCGTACACCAGCACGAAACAGGTAGACAGCTAGGGCATAGGTGTAAATTGCCTCCAGTAAGAACCTATATGATATGCTTTATATTGAAAAAAAAATGAAATATTTATTTTGAAAAAAAATATATATAAATAAGTGTAAATTACTAAAAACTTCACTTGTAATTAGGATCCTGCACATCCTGGCACCAGGTGAAAAAACCTTTCGCCGACGGTTCCAAACTACTTTCGAAGCAATATGATAGAAATGGCTGCAATAATTCGTCTCCTGTATGTTAAATAATGCATTGTTTATTTACATATTAAAAACAACAACATAAATTAAATATTTACTTTCTTATACACATACTTTATTGTTAATGCACTGACCTGTGCCTAATAGTAGAATCTCTATAAATTGCATCGCCTTGTGATGGTCGTTTCCATCAAGGCAGGATTGAAGCGCTTTGGGTGTTCTATATCCCAAAAGTTTGGCTAAGTCCAAACCCAGAACTTGCCAAACGAGCTTGATGACAGCTGTTTTATAGATTATAAAAATTTCATGAGTGCAGATTAAAGAAAATCCAATCATAATGTTATATATATATATATATATATATATATATATATATATATATATATATATATATATATATATATATATATATATATATATATATATATGGGTGTGGGTGTGTCATGCAACTCTGTAGTATTTATATTTTTTAATTCAAATGTACTTGATAAGGAAGGTAAAGAAGTACCTTTAGCCATGTTTATTTCAAAATGTCCAAGACCAGGCTGGACAAGGAAATCTTGTAAGTCTGGGTTGTCTTGGAGTATCCTCTGACATAAAAGGTACGGGAGACCATCACAGCCGATGATGCTCCATTTCCTGGCATTGGGTATTCCTAATTCTTTTTTAAGATTTTGTAAAACAATTTTGACAGATTCAAATGAACATGGATTGACAGAAATTGGATTACCCATGAGAATAGAAGGAGGTTCTTTGTGGTTATGGTCTAAAAAAACAATATGAATCAATTTTACATCTACTTTTATCTGTGAATTTTGTTCTTCTTGTTCTTGATTAATGATGAAATGGTATCTTCTGGAGACGTGAGGCCAGGGCGTTGCTGCGTTGCTAAAACCTGTAATCTTTCTTTAATAAAATTTTCTCTGAGATCTCTAAAAATGTCTTCATAATACTTTGTAATATTTAAAACTTCATTAATACAATCTGAAATTGAAGAATTGTACAGCCAGTATCTAGGAGAAAGGGCATCGATTGTCTGTAAATCATGAGAGGGTTTAGAAAAGAAATGCACAACAGTTGTAACTGTGCTAAGTATAGCCTTAGCGTCAAAACGCACTCTCCAGTTCCTTGCAAGAACTTGGTTATTGTCAAAGTATGTTATAACATCGTACAATAAAGGAACTTGCACTGGATTTTGTGAATGTTGATCAATCCAATTCAGGATTGAAGTATAACTCCCAGCTGGGTGCGCACAAGAATAGAGGTTGCAGACTGTCTTGCTGCTACAAACGTAATAGTTTAATAGATTTACACTAAAGGAAAATGGTAAAATGATATTGTTTGCAACCAGAGAATATAAATGCTCGATGGCAAAGACAACCTTTGTTTTCTCAGAGGAAGACATGTTCTTGAACTCTTTCCCGCAAAGCGACTCTAAAAAAGAAGTAAGGACACTGTCTCTTTCCATAACCCATTTATCAATGTCACAAGTTTTTAGAAAGTCTATGTTTTTGTATTGGCCACTCACATTTTCAGATATGTCACTCCTCATTAACTTGCATTCTCTATGACCGATGGCCTCCGCAATTCTTTTCACATTCTTTTCAGATATATTATTTGTTCGAATTATACATATTATTTGATTAACAAGTTCATCTTGTTCACTTTTATCACTGGCTAGTAATTGTTTTTCTGCATACGCCGCACAAGATGTACAGATGTACACACAACTTCTGGTAAGGTACCCATTTTCTATTAGGTAATGTATAATTTGTGCACGAATTTTATTGCTTGAAATTCTGTACACTTTATAGCTGGTGTCTTTTGAAAAATTACCATGTTCCTTACAGCTACAAAGGGGCATGGTTTTTCTATAAAAAATATATATATATATATATATTCATTGATATAAAGCGCTTTAGATAAAAGTTTGAGTTTATCATTTGAATTTGGATTTTATTCATTGATATAAACGGAGTTGCGCCCCCCCCTTTCCACATTGAAATAATAATCTTAAATTCATAAATACATTTAGTAATACACGTGCCCCATAAAAATATTTAAAGCCTTACACTAATAACTAAAATAAAATCAAATATACGCCAAACTCTTCACTTTTGCCAAAAATTAAATCTGACTTTGCATTCCTACATTATTAATCAAAGTTGGCTTCCATACTTTACAAGAAAGTAACGGAAAATTTACCGTTAACCGGGTTTCCTCTGCAACTACGTGCACCACAGTACATCTGGTTTGACGGGAACTGATTAAACAGCACACAAGACGCAGGGCATGGTGAGTTTTATCCCAGAATTAAGTTTTAAAACTTATTTCACTTATAAACAGAACTCATCACCATCACTTTCAGAACTTTCCAATGTTGAGCGCCTCAAATGACGCACTTTTATACCCTCTTTTTTGTGAGTGAGTAATTTATACGCACGGGTGAACATACTGACAACAACTCAGAATTCGACTTCTTAGATTTTATTTATTATTATTTTTTTGTAAATTCATACATGAAAAATAGCTTGATAAAGCTATTGCCAATAGCTTGATAAAGCTATATAGCTACATAAAGCAATATAGCTTGTTAAAGATATTGTGCTGGACCTGACTAATTGAGGGGGGATATCGTTTGAATCAATTTTTGATTTCACGTTTTGAAGAAACTTTTCCTTTTCTTTCTCAAAATTTTCAACATGTATGACTTTCTTTGAAGTTGTGCCTTTACGTTTAACCATCCCCATACGTTTAAGCAAAGACACTGCCCAAGATTTGGTTAGTTCGATGTGACCACCATTTTCAAACAACAGAGATCTGTCTTTAGCCAACACAACGCCTCGGGCTGAAGCCTTTACAATGGCCGTATTAATAACTCCCCCAGAAATACGTATATTATTGACGAATGTCTGCACTTTTGAGTCAAGCTCTGATCCAAGAAGAAACTTACGCCCCCGCTTATTAGGCTGCAGTTCTGTCAGTTCAGCACTTTCTGGTTCCTCAGAATAATCCAGTTTGCGTTTGCGAGTATTTATTTCTTTTAGATACGCAGATTTAAAACTACGGACGGAACTTTCACTAAGTTTTCTATTGATGATGGGGCTGTATTTAGCGACGGCTTTGGCATTGCAGTGTTCTGCCGCATATCTTCCTATATCTAATCGTTGTTTTGGACTATAAGTTCCGTACTGCCCTCGCTTTTTTGGCGTTGATTTAGGACTAGAATCGGCATTTTGTACTTCCTCTACTAATGATTTAGCGATGTCAAATTCTGGACCCAATATTTGTGTGTCACTGTCCTTTTTCGCAAAATATCGTAAGATGGACATCTTAATTTTAAGAAAGCTTTTCTTTAAATAAATGTTTCACTGGGTGTGTAAGTAGATCGTATTATCGGATAATTACAGTGTACACATGACTGAGTGACAGTGTGAGCTTCTACTCACAGTTAACTAGAGGGTACACTTTTATGGCACACAATAATGGACATAATTTTCTGCGTGTTTTATTTTTTGCGAATTAAAAATGATCGCGAAAAATGCGAAAAATAGATTACCGCGAAAAAAACCGGATATACGGTAACACTCACACACGAGATCATGAAATTTAAAAAAAAAATGTCTACAAATATGATATTTAAAAAAACTAATAGTCTACAAGTAGAGCGGCCCTATTGCAGCCCTCGATATTATTATACTCACACAAGAGACCGTGAAATTTTAAAAAGTATTGTAGTCTACAAATATCATGATATTTCAAAAATCTAATAATCTACATGTGGAGTGGCCCAATATCCGCCTCCGAAAAACAATCACAATGGAGAACATAATATTTTAAAAATAAAGAAATCGACATGTACAATGATATAGTATTTCAAAAAAAAAACGTGAAGTGGTCAAATTTCCGCCTCTGAAAAACACTCACAATGAAGAATGTGAAAAAAAAAATAAAGTAGTCAACATGTAACATGATATTCCAAAAATCTAATCACCTTCTATGTTTTGCTTTAAACATTAAAGCAACGGCTTTTATTTCCCTTTTCCCTTTGCGCTTCCTAAACTTGCCAACTTTTCAGAATTCAGTGCATATCTCTTTATGATGTCAAGGATGGTACTACAAATTTGTATCACACAATGGTCTACCATGAGATAAGGATCGATATTTTTCTTTCGGATTTCTCAGGAACCGTAACCAGTTCGACGAACAGAGTGAAAGTTCTCCAAATGGGTGATGTGCTAGGGCTCTTAGACTCTGTACCAGCTTTGCAACGTCCCCTTTTCCTTGGGCAAGGACGTTGCTGAAACATCGCTGGAGGTACTGAATGAATTTTAAGTGAAAGTTTCATGACTTTCTTTCACAGAATACAGATTGTTCTTCAAGATCTTCTTCACATGATTGGCATATGTGATTGGCATCAGATATTTTATCATTGTCTTTGTCAATGTTTGCTCGAAGTCTAGAAACTGTACTACATGTACTGTCTTCATCTCCAACAATTTCTTTAACATGAATTGATAAAGCATCATTCATATCCTTAACAATTTCTTCTATCATATTCACTTTCCATACCC